CTTTTTAAAGTTCTGTAAGCTTAAGCTTATGTCAAACCACATACTAGGTCAGATCAGTGTCTCAGTTAAATCTTAATACAAACGTGCATAAACTGAGGGTCTCAATGGGGTGGTGGCCTCTACGGTTATCGGCTAAAATTTTGGCTCTTTTACGGCTATCGGTTAATTTTTTTCAGTTACGGTTAACGAAAAAGTTAAAAATTAACTTCTTTTGTTTCAAAAAATTAAATATTAATTAACCTGTATTTTTTTGAATAAAGGTCTTCGGATCATCTCAGGATTATCCAGGATTATCCGTTCCAGATAGCCTGTGTACAGCCGCCCCCTCCACTCAGAAAATTTCGGAGAAGGGGTGTCTGTGGGGAGGACGCGACTGTACACTAGTCTAGTCTAGTCTGTACACTAGGCTAGTCTCAGACGGATGATCCATTTCTAGCTCTAGTGTGAAAACGGCCAATAACAAAATTCCCGTGTCCAGTGTTTTTAATGATAGTGAAGGAATGTACGGAATGACTGTCTGCCGTTGCCTTGTCCGTAGGCCGCATTATTCCGTGCGGCTAATGCGTTTCGGGTCACGTGGTCCGAGCGAGTTCGCCACCGAAATACCTTGACCGAGATTGCGTGGGAAGACGCCGTACGGGGACTAGGCATGGCAATGTCTACCGTAGCGTCAGAGAAAAACAGGGAAATGTTGTTTATCGGCAACGTGTTTAACAAACAGTGACATCTCTGCGTGTTGTTTCCTTAGTGTTTCGAGGGCACGACCTCCGGAAAATTGCAAATATTAATCCCAAGCAAGAAGCCACACTTTCGCTATGGAAAAAATTTGTTCCCCGAGAGAGCGCTGGAAATGGAACCTAGGTCTTGGTTAAGGCGCTTCGCCTAACGTGCGTACAGAATCACACTAGCCGGGAAATAAAAAACGGAACCATAAGTGAGTTTAGTATCTTCCTTAAAAGTAGCAAATCTAGGAAACACTTTCTTTTACGGTTAACTCTTTTTTACCCTATTTACGGCTAACGGTTAAAATTTTTCTATTTTTACGGCTATCGGCTAAATTTTTGGCCGTTTTACGCCTATCGGTTAACCCCATTGAGACCCTCTAAACTAGCTTCATAAACTGCGCCGCTGGACTTCATGAAATTAGATATAAATACAACAATTACTCAGGCTTACCACATTTCGAGATGCAGCTCCTGAAAGCTGTCAAGTAAGGCAAGGATCGCTTGAGCCTTTATACTTCTCGCACGCATCCAGCAAGGTGAAAAACAAAAACGATGCCATCCGAAATCGGATTATCGGCTTTGACAAGCGACGCATTTCTCAACGAAAAACCCAATAAACAAACCAGCCATGAATAAGAGAACACTTTGATATCAGCTGTATTTCATTTTGTACATCCAGTGGAAAAAGACAGTTAAAAACATCACAAGTTGACTCAAAACTCTGTCAGCTTCAGCTGTCAAAGTAAACAACTTTCAAGATGCTGCATAAATTTTACGCATGAACTCACCTGTCAAATTTTAACCAATCAGAGCATAAAAATTTGGCGTGGAGCGTGATCAACACGTGAAAATGGTGAGAAAAGGTCTTCCCCGCCTGTATTTAAAAAAAACTGGCTGAATTTTTGCGTCTGAGGTCAGTTTGAAATCAAAATCGTAATAGTGCGGGACGATACTGACATAAACACAACATATTTGATATGAATTTAAAAAAAAGTAAACGTGAGCCTGCGATCATTTGAAAACGAGTAAATTGTCAGCGGATAACTTCAAAAAAACACTCGACCTTGATGGGTCGACACCTGAGCCCGCGATACGGTCAGGTGATACTGGTCAGCGGATACCCTGTTTTGACAGCTGTCAATTGATGACAACATTGATGTGCAATCATCTTTCTGCTGGGCTCCCAACGTAACTAGAAAGTGTGAGAGTAAACATTGGTATACCTGTGGTGCGGACGGACGGTCGGTCGGTCGGTCGGTCGGTCACGTGATTACCAAATTTTCTGGGATGGGTAGATTTATTTACCCATGGTGCTCCGCAGGCGCGCTTCGCGCGCGGAGCTCCGCTACAAGTTCTACACATAATACAGTACTGTACTTCTTTCTGAGAGATGTCAAACTAACTCCTTTTGAGTGATTCTATTAACAAGTTATAACTCTTTGTAGCTGTTTCTGAGGGATGCCAAACTCCTTTTGAGGGATTCCATTTACACGTTTACATAAATAAAGTGTACCTCTTTCTGAGGGATGCCAAACTTCTTTGAGGGATTCCATTAATTTACAAGTTCTACATATATAAAGTGTACCTCCTTCTGAGAGATGCCAAACACCTCATGAGGGATTCCATTTACAAGTTATACATAAATACTGAGTGTACCTCCTTCTGAGCGATACCAAACGACCTTCTGAGGGATTCCATTTACAAGTGAAAAGTAAACACCTCGTTTTGAGGGATGCGAACCTGCTTCTGAGAGATTCCATTTTAGCAATTCTGAGGTGTTTGCTCTCTTAAAGATTCCTCATTTTTTAAGGAACAGAGGAGTTTAAAATTATCTCGTATACATTTCCCTTGCCGTTCAAAGTTCTTTATTCGTAAATTCTGCTAGTCCGACGACGTTAGTTGATCTCGAGATGCGCCATCTTGTCTCACGGGCGAGCACGGGCCGAAGATTGGTGAAGCAACTCTCGTTTCTAGTCCTCCTCGATCACCTCCTTGTGAGGGATTCCATCTAACCACGACCGCTTTTCCATGTTTTTCTTCAGTAGCGGTTCGCCATTACCGAAACAGAAAATGTCCGAGCAAAAGGGGAGGGTTGGATCGAGGTCGACCTAATTCCATTACAATAGAAACGCAATACGATGAAAAGAAAAGATAAAAAACACAGTCGGAGTAATGCCTACCATGCGCCTATTTCGCCAGTAAAATGTGTTTGGAGCTGGAGATTCCGTTCTTCTTCAAGAACCATGCTTTCCTCTTATGCAGTGGCCTATTTACGGTCGCGATTGGCTCTAAGTCTTCATCGTACGGGACAAAAGGAGTTCCGTTGTCGTCCAAAATATGACTGTTTTCGTGGGAACTTAAATCAGATCTGTGTTCCGAAGAAATGGACGAAGAACACGGAGGAGACGACATGACAATGACAGGCTAGTCGGCGTTGTAGCAAGATGGTGGTGAGTTTTGGATGATAAGATGACGTCACGAAAGGAAACCCTGAACAAAGTTCGTCGGCTCGAGTAGTTGTTTATGTAATGGCGGGCCCATTTTTCGCACTTTAAGTCCATATATTAACTTCGCGCTCAAAAATTTCGGTTACACAAACTTCGATTTTCGTCGCAGTAGTACGTTAAGAAGGAATCCACCAGGCAATTGAGTAATTGACCACGAGAAACTGAAGACAATGCTTATGCAAAATTTTGGGATGACAAACAAAGAGTATTATGGTATGTTATGGTATTTTCTGGAGTGGTCAATTGTTATTAGTCAGCTGTAATAACGCCCTAATAAATTTCTTATGGGAGCCCGAGAAAAAGAATGTCAAATTTCAAAAAATTACATCTGACGCATGAAATTTGTGTTTTCACAATTCTTGTGAAACTTGACATTCATTTTCTTGGACTCCCATGCGAAATTTTCTTTGGTGTTATTACAGATAACTAATTAGAACTTCAATCCTTGAAAAATGTAAAAAAAAAGAATGCAATATTCTTTCAATTATTCTGGTACAAGGTTTTTGTCCACTGAGAATTAAAATTACTCAATTTCCTGTTGGATTCCGTGTTAATTACGCTTTGAAATTAAGTGCTACAGGAAAATTTTAAAAATACAACGGATGTAGCAGAGAACAAATACGTCAGTGAGGAAGGAACTCAATAGTGGAAGATCAATGGTTAGAGATTTTTATAAAGACACAAAAGCGGGAGTATTTTGACCATTTGAAGGCTTGAGGGCTCGGGAAAAAACATCTCGGGGGGATCGGATAACTGGAGTTAGAGAAGTAAAAGTAAAGCCTCCATTTATATGCTTAAAATTTACTAAATCTAACAAACGTTTAACCAATAAAATATGCGAAACTGCAAAGAAATAAACAAATCTAAACTTAACTATAAGAACCATCCATTTAACCATTGAGTGAGGGAATACCGTAAAATTCCGAAAAATAATAAGCCCCGGGGATTATGTTTTTTAAAGACCCTTTTTTGAGGGGCTTATTTACGGAGGGAAATTTGCGTTTCAAAATCAGCTAGGCTTATAGTGGGAGGGAAATATGCATCTCAAAATCGATTGGTCTAGCGTATATTTGGAAGGAAATTAATGTCAGTAACTTGCAGAAACGTTCTACTGAAACTTGTCTTGAAGACGTAGACCTTTCTAAAACACAGCCACGCAAGTACTTTGTCTATACGCACCAAGTAGATGCAAGCCAAGAGTGAAGAGTGAACTACGCAAACAGCAATGAACTGTGATACTTTTAAGTGTTAATAAGTCAGAATTAAAATTCTCACTGCAATCATTTAGCACACGTAAAAGTTAATATTTGGTAAATACAAAAATTTCTATGCTACTGTACTGCTGTTACTTTGTTTTACTTTGTATTTGTTTTGAGAGCAATTTCCAAGTACAAGCTCCCAGGGGCGATTTAAAGGAGGGTTTTTTACGTCACAAGTTTGGGGGGCTTATACATGGAAGGGGTTATTTTCGGAATTTTACGGTATGTTTCTAGTTCATTTCAGCAAAAATTATTGCGGAATGACTGATCTAGAACGGAAAAACTCTTCATTGAGCGATGTCATGTTATATTTTCAACAAAACACTACAAATCAAATGCGATCACAGTAGCTAGTAGGGTTGCAAAATAATTCTTGCCTGAACTACATCACCGAACCCCCCACCACATCCCTTTACAAAGACATTGATCTATAACTTAATTTAATACTTAAAGTTATATGATATGATACTCTAATTCATACATTAGCTTAAAGCATATTAAACGTTGTCCTTATATTAGGTACAAACCTTGCATTGATTAGTTGGGCTCCGACGCCCATGGCTGTAGCAAACTTTTGTGGGAAACCATGCCCCAGAGGTGTAAATCGTACAATATCCATATTTCGCTCGACATTTCCCATTGTAACAATATTCACATGAAAGGCAACTGAGCGGTGTTCCACTACACCTGCCACCAGAACAGCCGTCGTTTATGGTGCAAGCGTCATAATCGCTGCAGGAAAGGAAATCGTCGTTTGTCCACTTTTTCCTATTCGACCTATCACATTTCTAGGCAAAAAAAGTGGTATAATAATATTAATTTTGTAAGACCTAAGAGATGCGTGATTAGTTTCTTCCATAGTACATGAGGCGATAACACTCAGATTCAACCACATCTAAGTAACACTCTATTTTTTTTAAAACACGCTTAATTTATTGCATTTCAAAAAAAAAAAATAACAAGCTTGGCATGCTCTCAAATAGCAACGGCTCTTAGGTTGGACTCTGCTCACTGCCAGAGAGAAAAAAAGAGGAATTCCAAATCAAGTGTCTAATGTGCCAAAAAGAAGCCAGTACACAAGCATTTTCAATAGCATTGTAGGGACCGTGGAAGCAACCTTCTTTTGTGTATTAAATTAACTTATGTGTACAGTACATCAACGCAGATGAAGTCATAGCATTTTGTCTTTATCAATTTTCATGAACAAAATGCGGAGGTCATAAATGGTTCCGTTTGACAGAATTTTAGTTATTTTCAGATGGATGATGTCAAAGTCTATTTTGATTTATGTGCGTTATATCCTTATTTGGGTATGAAGCCACTCATGGGGCTCGTTACGCAGTTTAGTCTGCTTAAGGACGGTGCCCACTATTGTTACTGCGCGCATTTTCTGCGCATGCCAAGGTAGTCGCGCACGACGCGAAAGAAACGCGCAACACGCAGGACACGCGGACTGGTTTTGTCTCCTGTAAATCTGGGAGGTTCTAGTTATTACTTTTGGAAAAGATGCGTCGTTTTTCAACAGATGAAAAAGAATTTCTATTTACCTTGTCAGTTCTTTGAAAACCGAAGAAGTATGCGCATTTTGCTATTTCTGCGTACGATTGATCTGACCGAACATTTTTATAGTCAAGCAAAAGTCAATTCTGAAACATCAAAAGTTATTGCTTCAAGATGTTACGCTTAGGGCTTGGGTATTAAAAAATCCCTTAATAGGCAAGGATCAGTAAATCAGAAGGAAAATAGCTCTAAGTCCTCCGGTTAATCGAGAAACTGCAAGCTTACCTTTTACTCGCGTCCTTCGCGTTTTATCGACTAATTGGCTATAAACAGTTTCCCGAATATTTCTTTAATTTTGTAAGATTTTACGTAATTATTCACCAGAAGATAGACTTAAAGCGTTCGAGTACATACAGATGTCCCTTTTATTGAGAGTCTGAGGCTTTTATTTGTTGAACAAACAAGAAAAAAACTATCACAAGATTGTTTGGATTGCTGAGATCGCAGCTTCACAAATAGTTGCGGCCGCAAAGGAAACGCTTTCATCGTGGAAAAAACGATAAAAAATTGTTATGCTTTTTACTATTATCATTGTTATTTAAGCATTTTGGCATTACTAAGCATTGAAATTATTGACTCATTGGCAGCTTGTCGTGTAGATAGTATTTCTTAAGGTTCAATTTCACGCCACACATAATCTGGACATATAGACAGCTGCCATTTGGCTGTTTACAAACTAAAGATGGAAGGTGAAATAAACTGAAGTATTTCTATTCCAAGACTTTCTTAGGTTTAACAGACACTGTTAAGTCCAAAATTAGCATTTACAAACGAAAAATAGGAAATGATCATGACACAAAAAGCTACAGTAAAAAAAAAATCAAAACGAAATATATAAAATGATCATTATAGCCCAGTGCATATATGAGGGTACATAAACGCATTCGGTACAACTACTTTCAGACTATTCAGCTTTTTTAAAAGAGAGCTCATGTATGTGTCTATGCAAATCATTTATTTCATATGACACTTGTGGCAAAGCCCGAAAGACTGCGCAAAGCACAGATACAAGCTCATTGAATGTATGCAAGTTTAATAACATATTCGATCGAGATACCCGGTAAAATGAAGGTTTACAATCCATATTACATCTACAGTTCAAAAAATCTTGAGGACATGTACAGGTAAGTAAACGATTGAAGGGGTACCTGTCTTAGAGTCCCTGTCGACTATTTTCCACTACAGTACAGTAGTTTGTTTACAGCACCAGCAGTGGATCTTGAGCTCGCCATACTACTCTATGTGCGCTGCAAGTAATCTCTGATACCTTGGAGATTGCTCTTCTCCAAACATTTTTACTTCGGCGGAGCGCGAAGTAAAGGATTCGCGACGCTCAGGAATGTATCAAAGTTGCCATCTTTTGACAGGATTGGGCAAGCAAAGTCTGTAGGTTTTCGGTTCTATTCGGCTATTTGACGAAGTGAGAGCCGAATTAGTTCGAGATATCTCGAGATCACTTCGATTTCTTTGATTTGTTCTTTAACTTTTTCGAGGAAGAAAGAATTATTATTTTGGCTTTCCCGGGGTTTGAACCGACTCACCTATGTGACCCGTCAGATCAGAGGAGACTCTAAGATGAGGGATTAGCCGATTGCGCTACTGCGACCCAAGGTAGTTTGAAATATGAAAAATAGTTATGAAATGATGCACTAGTTTCGGGACAAGATTGGGCGTGCAAGTTCGTGACTTTTCGGTTTGTTTCAACTATTTCACGAAATGAGACCGGACTATTTCGTGATATCTCGAGATCACTTCGAGTTTAGTCTTTAATTACTAGTGGAATAAGTAGAGGATATCTCGTGGCCGCGCAGAGACACGAGATTTCTCTTCGAGTAGTGAAAAACATTTCACGAGTGAGCCCTCCTTTACATTTTGTCTTTGTTGAGTTTTACGTAGTAAAATTGCTTTCATGTGTTGCGTGACTTTCTCGAACGTTCTCTAAGTTTTTGGATTAGCCATGAATAATTAATTAGGGTATGTTTGCATTTCAGCGTGAGTCAGCAAATTTGCATCAGTTAATGAAATCATAACATGTGTCGAAAAGCTACTACTATTCGCCTGTCTAGTATTTTCTAGTTATACAAGTATACAAGTTCCTAGCGAGTTCTTTTGACGAACTAAGTTTTTTCCCACGAGCTGGACTGCTGTGTGTTTAGTCAAGTGTGACGAAGGTCGATTTTCAGGTTCTGTATTTACAAGTTCGCAGAACCCGTAAGATATCTGAAGTTCAAGTAAGAGTTTGTTATTATTGGTAGAAGCTGTTTAGTTTTACTCAAAGTTCAAGTCAAGTTTGTGTTGGTGGGTGCTGTGTTTTAAAGCTCTGTAAAGGCTATGTTCCTAACCCTTGTGTTAATCCGACATCCCTGCGTGCGGATAGTCAGTGAATAATTATCCTCAAAACATTCGAACTCGTGACTTTGAGTTTTAGCCAATTCCATGCTCAACGTAATTGACTCCTTACCCATGCCTTACATATCTTTAATCAGTACATGAGACTGCTATGCTGTTTTTGAAGCCTGATGTGACTAAGAAAAATAGAGAATTGTTTTTTTAGAAGGATTTGTATGGAGTCATCAGAGCATCACTGGGCTAATATCTCGGAGACAATTTGTCCCGAAATGCTAGTTTTTGTTAAGTAGGCCTCTTGGATGTTGCTCTTTTCAGAATATCCTGACAAATCCCATAATTTCACAAATTAACACCTTACTCTTACCATATTTCATTTCTTACTATTCCTCCGCATTTACAAATAATTAGTTTCAAAACCACGAAGCCGAAGTGTACGCTCCGTACCGTGTTGTTAAATGTTTGAGACGGAGAAGCTCCAGTTGAATGAAATGGTATAATTTGTTTTCCTTAGAGTCCATGAAATGTCCTGCTTCACTTTCTGTTTTTGCTCTCCTCCATGTGTTGTTGTTTTCTCTGACTGTTAGCCTTGTGGAAATCCCAGAGTGCTCCGCGTTGAGTGAAACTGGCCGGGGAGGGGTTGGGGAAAATTGTAAATAACCCCCAAAGCGATTAAGTTAAGGTCGAAACCAACCAATTTAACTTCTAAAAACGCGTAGTAACCCCTGCTTTTTATGTTACCAAATGAAAGTAATAAGCCTACTCAGCAAACGATCAGTTTGTGGTTCGGGGAAAATGTCGTTTACACTATTTTTGAGGCAGATAACCTCCCAGTTTGCGGATATTTCAAAAAAAGGCGTATAAAGAGCAGTTGTTGTGTTATCATTTGTTGCCTATTTTGAGACCTTGTTACAATTATCATTGCATTTGTGCCAATTCACGTTTACACTCTGAAATTTTGGGAAAAAATAACTTTTTATCATTGTTTTAAAAAACGCCTATTAAGCGTTTTTCTCCATATTGAAGCGCAGTTATCTCTGAAAAATGCGTGGTTACCCCCCGTTTTCCTTTTGGATTTCAAAAGCCCCTGATATGATCTGCTTGTCTCACATAGTCATTATCTGGGAAAAAATACTTCCCATTAGTGGGCACCGTCCTTAACAGCCGTTCTTTGCATTGTAGCGCAAAGCTTCCCTTCCCCCACAAACAACTAAGCAGTTTCCCTTTTCGAAATGGTCAGCGTCAAACGCCGACTGCGCGCTATTGTTTTTACCATGCAAAGGAGCAAGTGACAACAAAAGTTCCATTGTTTTCTAACCCTAAGACAATGGTCCACAGTCTGCATTTCACACTACCCCCTTTTCGAAAGGGGAAACTGGTAACTGATAACTGGTAACTGAAAACTATTAGTTGCCGACCAAGAGTAAGCGGAGCGTAGGAGAGTGCGTTCGATGTTTGTTAGCTATTTATAATACAGAGATTTAGCCAGGGCTAAAAGCGAAGCTCTGGTTAATAATACGTGTAAACAAAAAAAATTAAATCGTGTAATGCTAAACGGGGACGACAATGAAAATGGCCTCAAGACTAATAGATCTAATTAGCAAAAAAACAAATTGCACGTGCAGCACATTTTTTATTCTAATTAGCAAAAAACGAATTTGCACGTGCAGCACGCTTTTTTGTCTTTCCCTTGCCGTTGTTTTGCACGACTACAACGCTGTTTTGGACTACTAAAACGTCAAACTTCCTACGTACACATTATTTTTATGGAGGACTTGTCGTATGTGCTTACCCAATATTTTGTTTCCTGTGTTCATGTTTGTTTTTATTTTTCACTGCCGCTCATTTTCACCTTGCTGGTCGCTAGCATTTTTCACTTTCTCACCGCCTCCTTGAATTCCTATGGTTTTCTTCCTACGAAATTCGTCTCCTTTGTTTTCAATAACTCGCTCTCGTTCTTTCGCTCTTATCCACGTTAGTGTAAACAGAGAAAATATAGTCAACTCTTTCTAAGACGGACACCTTTGGGACCGGTACTAAGTGTCCATCTTAGAGAGGTGTCCGTCTTATAAAGAGTCAAATAAAAGGAGTAAAGAAAGGCAGGAACCAACTCTAGGTGTCCGTTTTACAGAGGTGTCCGTCTCATAGAGGTGTCCGTTAAGAGAGAGTCGACTGTAACGCCGAAAAAGACACGACTTTTTTGTTGTTTTTTTCTTTCTAAAAGTCCGGGCGGCCTTGTGATTTCAATCCAAATAAAACCCTGAGTTGCATTTGGGTTGCCATACCTGTTGATTAAGTTACTTTACATTGGTATGCCTGTGGTGCGGACGGACGGTCGCTTGCTCGCTCGCTCGATGTACGGTCACGTGATTACCAAATTTTCTCGGATGGGTAGATTACCACATGTCCTTAGCTATGGGGCTCCACCCACGCGCGGCGCTTCGCGCCTCCCGTGGAGCTCCGCTATAAATAATAGGTGCACAGATTGCAGTGACAACGGGTTAAACACTGACTATGATCCTCAGGATATTATTTTGCACTGTAGGATGGACAACAAAATTGGCTAAAAGTTGGGATTATCATAGAGAAAATTAAAGTTATCTGGAAAGTTGATTGATTGAGATGTCAAAGCGTCGCCTATCACTTTTTGCGTGACACTAGGTTAACACGACTCACCTACTTAGCACTGTTCTTCAGATACAACGCACCCAGAATTAGTGAGATGAAAAGGTCAACGTTTCACAATTCAACTTCTGGTATTTTTTTCAGAAATGGTGACAAACGAAAGCGAAAACAACGCTGTAAATAGTTTTTAAAAGCGAAAAGATGTTATTTGTAATAGAATTAAGTTAAATATATGGTCGATCTGAGCTCATAGAAACAAATACAGTGTGCAGAACACATTGTTCACATGATATCTACACATCCGATTATCTTAGAATGGAGTTTTTCCTATATATGAAAAAAAACTTAATTGAATACTGCAAGAAAAACGATAAACAAACCTAAAGGAATTCCAGTAAGACATTGGAAGCTCATGCTGATAATAATCTTGCCGTTATTGCCCCTGCTTGCTGTGAACAGCAAGTTTTGACACAAGAACTAGTTGAGCATCGGTTCCCCTGACATTCCATTCTCACTTTGCCCCCCATCTTACAGATAATATTTGTAACATCTTCCCTTTCCGACTAAGAAAATCGACTTGCTCGACTGCTAGTGTTTCTCTTAGAAGCCTTCAAACGTTTATTTCAAGCATGTGCATTGAATCTTTGTCTCCAGGTTCTCGCGGGAATTATTTGTTTTCGACCATTCTCGACTCCAGTGCTTACGCTTTTGACTACGCACGTAAACTCGTGGAAACTCCGCGCCGGTGAAGCCAAAATTGGCTAACCCGCTCACACGCCAGACATGCCGCACGTTCACCCGCTCTCGTGCGAACTTGAATGGACCAACCAGATACACGTTTATTGTTTTCTTGCTGAAGCCAATCAGAGACAGTCCTATTCTATGATTCCCTAGAGCTCTTCCCTCCCTGGCCGTCATGCGCAGAAGAGCTCTAGGTTCAAGATTGGTTATCGACAATTAAACACTCTGATGACTGCTTGCATCGGACATAGTTAGTGATCGATGACATCTTCTTGTCGATCTTTAAAAGATATATGGTTGTCGACAACGAAATAGCTAGTCTGTGGAGGCCCTACAATCAAGAAGACGACTCCAAGAGATAAACAGTGCATGCTGTCCAGACTTAAAAAGCATGCAAGATTCTTTAACTGCAACAACACTCTCCACTCTCGCCTTAGGTCCTGGGCCACAACAGGCAGCCATCTTACAGAAACCTTACATCCTACCATCCGGACTCCTTAACTCACAGTGAACAACCCATTACAAGTGCCGAAACTAAAACAGCGGTGCATTCATTTTGTAAACTACGCTAAGACAGAAGAGGCAAATTTGGCGCAACAGATTTCGAGACTAAGTTAAATTTCTACAATAAGTTAGGCAATGAAACAGGGGCACCCAACGAGAATATAGTTCAAAAGCACTTAAACACAGCTTTGTTAAACGTATTTTAGTAGTTTAGTATTTAAACGATAGATAAAGGCATATTTTTATCCCCTAAAAATTTTTCATCTGTTCGGATTTCCTAGCTGAAAGTCTAGTGATCCGAAAATTTTAGGGATCAAAACTTACCTTTTCAAAAATACCAGCCAGAAAAAGGGCTCCCGAAAATTCTAGGTGACCTTTTTAGGGTAAAAATCCGTTAAGAATATGCAATTATACCATTTTTAAGATGTTTGAAAATCCTAGGAGAGGCAGGGAAGCGAGGAATTTTACAACAAATGTTCCGAAAATTCTAGATCTCAAATCGTCTTCCGAACAGATATTTTTCCGAAAATTGTCGTTTGGTGCCCCTGATGAAAGCGGTAGGAAATGGAACACGCATAAATACGTTACCGCTCAGTAATTTTAAATCACGGGTGGCTTCATACCCATATAAGGAAACGACAATAAACTACAAAGTACAACATCATCAATCTAAAAACCTGTCAAACTGGTTACGTCACTTGGATGGCTCGACTCAGTATTTTAGTAGCGACACCTTTCTTCTTTGAATCTCTTATACTTAAACAAATTGATCTTTACTGTAAAGCCCACCATATATATGTTATTCACAGGCTGGGAGGTCTGTATTGGGAGAAACTGTAGCAAAAAAATACATCAAGGATTTTCATCGGCTGACTAATTCAAAAATTGCTTTAAGATTAATTCAATCGAGCGTGAAGAAAACTGCACAAAGGAGCTAATTACACATACCAATTTTAGGTTTTGAATTGCATTCGAATAAAAAAAGACGATGTGAGTAACAAGTTATAAACAAAGAAATGAAAATGGCGATAAGCGACTGCTGGAAAAGTGATTCGTGTTGTTTATTTAAGCTTAAAGCTTAAGATTGAAAGCTAAATGCAATCATTGACCACAACCTTTCATGATAAGTAGAAACTAGCGAGGAAAAAATTCAATGAAAAACGACGGAATCCAGATTCATACAACAAAAATTTACAATAAACGGTGCATAAAAGCAAGATTGCAGTACTTACAGCGCGGTTATAAAGCTAGTGAAGCGACATCACGAGCTACCTGTTTTGCTTTACTTTAACGGTTTTCCTGGCTGACTTGCTTGATTCTCCCTTCAGATTTTTGTCTGAATAATGAAATTCACTTTCCCTAGCTAATGCTGATAATAGCGCAAGTTTTAAAAGAAAAGTGGTTTGAAAATGACCGTTTTTGCTCATTCACAAACAACAAACAAACTTGTGAATGAAGCTGCCAACGACTCCGCCAGCCTTTGGAACCAATCAGATTGCAGGATTTGGAGGATTCCGCCCGCTCGCAAGCTTGGAAAAAAATAAAACGCATGTAGTACACATATCTTTACATATCGATGAGCCCTGTTGACTCTATGCAACGCTTTACTTAACCAAAAAACCGTCCCCCAATGAAACAAATCTCTTTCGAATAACGAAAAAAGCTTGTTAACACGTGTATATCATTTTGTAGAGGCACTGGAAAAATCGCAAATAGTCCGGTTTTACCCAATTTGTGCACAATCGGATGACGGTTTGATCGGTCAAGTTTATATTCGGTTTTACAAACAAAGACGATTCGAGCTCAAGATCACAAATAACTCCTCCACACCTTATCACTTAAATGAGTGACCAGAGCCTATAAAACCCTGCCAAGTGAAGCTACGTCATACATGTAATACATTTTTAAGATTTTTACCGAACTGACTCGTTTCCCTGAGACAATCGCAAGCTACACGTATGATTCCCTTCATCTCTTTTACACGGTCTCTTGGCCCTTCGCCACCCGCTACAGTCTCTACAGACGGGCGTCAAAACCAAAATTTCGTACACTGATAAGATCCTAGTTTCTATTTTAAGCAATGGGGCATGGCATGTGGAACTATGCTGTAAATCATTTTGGTCAGAAATGAGTCCTTTAAATACAACATATTGTTAGGGGAGTGTACAAAAAGTTACCTGACACTCATTCCAGGGATTGACCTCTTCATATGTGTAACACTGGCCGTCTATTTCGCACTTCCCTGGACACGTCTCTGCAACGGTAAAATTGTGACCAGCGAAATGGACTCAAAAGGCGACATGAGAGACAAATGGAATGGCGACCAACGGCAAAAATAATTATTATAGTAAATTATAGTTATCTACCAACATTTCTAAATTTCAATTCGATCCGGAATGCTCGAGCGTTTAATACATGAGCCCCTGGCTCGGGAGATTGGGCAACCACTCCTCACGCTATCGAGCTTAAATAAAATTAATTTAATTTAATTTTAATTTAAAAATCTCCCATAATCCTTTGAGGTAGTTTTTTCTACTACCTAGAAGAATTTGCGACTACAAAAAGATATTATTAAATATTTCCCCATGTCACATCTAGGGTAATGACGAAATCAGCTCCACCACTATTGACAAATTAGCATTTTTTTTGTTGCTGTGACAAGATTTCATTATCGAGATTTTTAATATAGGAAATTTTTTCCTTGTATTGGGCATTAAAAAAAAAAACAGTCGACTTATCGACTTCCGGCATGTAAAATTTAAAGGGGCAATGAACATATGTGAAAAGGTCGGGAGATTAGGCAGAGGGCTGTAGGGAGTTGACTTTTCATCCCTCGGAAGTGAAAATTTGCAGGAAAGTAATTAACGATTCCTTAACAACCAAAAGAGGGATAAGATGTCATCAATCGTGGAACCAGGGCCTTTGAATATTATAGTTTGTGTTTACAATATATTTTTCATCATAAATTGACAAGTTTTTGTTGTTTTTCATTAGAAATGTTTATACTGCATTGCTTCTGAGTAATTATGCCTCCATTGTTAAAGCAAAAGCAAACGAAAATTGAGCCAGAAGTTTAGAAATTGCGTAAATTGTTCAATATTGCAAGTTTAAATAGGAAGGAAACTTGATTTTGGGAGTTTTGTACATCTAGAATCCTTTATCAACTGTTTGTTTGCCGAAATTAAAGTTTAACGTTTGTCAATAGGAGGACTTTTCAAAGTCAAAAGAATAAATTTGAAGGCCATATTGTTTATCTTCTTTCCGGGGAGAGAGATAATGTAGCAGATTCTAGTCGACGGTATTGGACAACCGTCATATATTTCATATCAGTGTTCTAGTATTTACACGTGAACTTCACAATCTTGCTTGAAATGACAGAGCTCAAACCGTCGGCTTCAAAAAGTCTTCTTTAAGGGCGTTTAGCAGAGAACAATTCAAGAGCTCCTTGTTGGATGAAAAGTAGGTAATTATAATTTCGATTCTTCACTAAATTGCTTGTAACGTATCGTTACGCTATTGACGAGAGAGTCAAGACACACTATACAAGGCCAGATTCAACACGGTAAGGGTGGAAGGCGGAATGGGTTTGTTGAATGATGTAATTATGCGGAATTTAATATATAGATAATGGCGCAAAGAAATAAATTAAACAGGAAAGCATGCGCGCGTCTCTTCGTTTAAACTTGAAAAACAGCTGATACACCGATACTTGATAAGTCATCGATAACTCTTTTCCAAAATAAACTGAAACGGTTCTTTACTCACGTCTCTTTTCCAGTGAAGTGCACTAAAGGTACGAAACCTTTTCGAGTTCGAACAGTCTTCTATCCTCATTACATAGAAAAACATCGTCACGGCGGACAAGGTAAAATAGGAGGGAGGAAGAGAGAGGACCCTGGTAACGAGGCTGTTAGGAAATGGAAGACAGGGCCTGCACCTTCGCGTGTGCCTGTAACTTCACCACACAGACAAGAAAACAAATTTAAAATACAAGATACGTTCGATCTCTGAAAATTATGTCACCATCCAACCCACTATCGGAAAAAGAAACACTTGTGACGCGGTTTCAAATGCAAATAAAGGTAAAAAGTTGCTCCAGCCCCAGTATCCTCGCGGTTTCTCTGCCCTCGCCCGCCTTTTTTACTTAGCCCGCCCAACCAAAACCGCCATGCTACGCAGGCTATTCAATGACCGACTTCCGTGATAGTATCGGTGCTGTCACGCAGCTCGACTTATAAAGGGGTTAGTATCTATAAAGGCAAGTAGAATCTTTGTGGGTGTGGACATTGTAGTCAGCCCGCAACATTAAAAAAGGTCAGTGCTTGTGAATTAATTGGCGCCAAAGAAGGGCGCAATTTTCAGCTTAATTTATTTTTGAGTCATTGTGCACATATTACATTCCGCAAGCCATATCACATGCCATTCCGCAAATTTATTCCGCCTTTTATCCTCAAAGGATTCAAGATCTGGTTATTAAGAAGAATTAGAATTAGTATTTCAATCCCACATGATGTTGCACTTTTTCATAACGGGTATAAAATGATAGCCATTTTATAAATTTTTCCGGGGAAGGCAAGCTTATTTTCAACAAGGATACTCTTTCTGGATAATCAAAAAAAACTGTTGCTTGAGCTGACTGTTGGTTTAATTTCTAAAGGTATCTTGGAAGAATATCAATTCCTGTTGTACTGCCAGAAAAGAAATGCGTAGTTTTTAAGTTTTTTACTCGACCTACATGTAAACCTTCAAAAAACTACATTTTTGATAGTGAAAAAAAGAAAATTAAAGTATTAATTTAAGTAAAGTCGAACTCGCTGAGTTATTCAGTCTGAGAGTGTTCCATTTATACATTTTATCAGTGACTCTATTATTTGATTCCGACGTACCCGTTATGCTCGGCCTTCAGCCTAGTCCCTAGGCGCTCTCTGTTGACCCGTTGTCCGCGCGAAGTCTGGGAAAGAGCGGGCGAGAGAATGCGTTCTCAGCAGGGCGTAAGGAGCTAGGGCGTTGAAACGTCCATACGCGCTCTCTGGTTCAGTTGTGATGTGGAGTACGACTGAAACTAGTTCGCCTTTTTGCTCTCGATCCGCTGTCAGGGTAATAAAAATGGCGTCGTCTGGCTGGAGGTGGGTTCGGATTTATTGCTTTATGTCTTTAGATCGCTGCAATCTATAATCGGATTTAATATTTGTCGTATTTCTATGCGATGCACAGAAAATATTTAGGAGATATT